TATTATATTATACGCGTCTACGGAGCGTAATACACGTTTTGTACAAACACCATGGTGTACAGAGTGATTCTAATCATTAAACACTCCTCGGTGGCCGTTGCGTTGTTATTATTTTTTGTAATATCGGTTTATTATTGTACATATATATTTAATACATTTCAACCACCTAAACTCTGGATCTGATTAGTTTTCGGAAAATTCTGTTGAATAACAACTGAACTCATTGCTGCAGTTATAATAAAGTTAATTGTTTAAACGCGTAATATGTTAATCCCATCCATAAAAGACAAACCGTAGTACCTATCTTGTAGTTATAGTATAATAATAATATATTATAGATAAACAGCGCAGTTCTCTTTATTTTTAAGATTAAAGTATTTATTAAAGGTTTAAAAAATATTAAAGAAAAAATAGTTGGTATAAGATATTTTTAAGATATAAATTAAAATATAATCAATTTCAAATATTTTTAAAATGTAAAAAAAATGATTCCTCTACAATTTTATTTTAAACATTATACGTAGTAGTGCGATAAAAACTTAAAATTATAAACAAATCGATTTTTATTTTTTTTTTAAACACGTACATACGATCGTGTTCATTCACGCATGTAATGTGAACAGTCAAATATTTGACTCGTTCAAAATTCGTAATATGATCAAACAAAAATCAAATATGAATATCGTATCCCGTGTATGATGTACGTCAAATTAAACGTGAAGTTTTGCAGACGCCTAAGCTGAATCCGAAGACCTGTGATAACTAATAATAATAATGTATACACCTATGTGTAATGTTCGTCTGTATGTATAAATAATATATAATATAAATCTTGAGACATATTTGTACTTTAACTTCATTCCGCGGCCGTCTCTGGTAAAAGATTTCAACGGTCGTCGTCCGTATATAGTTTTATAAGCCGGATTTATTTTCTATTAACGTGAGATGAGCGTGTGGAGCATAATAATAATATGTGTACAAAGTTTGGTGAAAACTTCATTCCATAAAAGTTGACGCGATGCATTAATATCGTCTTAGTGCTCAACGCCCAAATCATATGGTTTTTCAAAGTATTACTGATCTTTATGTCACTGTTAAAACGCGAATATCAATAAGATTGAAAACTAATAATCATCACTCGAATATACGTGTTGAAGATTTTCTCTAGGGTTAGCACGTATACAAACTAATATTATTCTAGTAACAAAATTTAAACATTAAATTAAGATAAATAAAATAAGGATAAAATATTTATTCCTGCCATACTTTAAGAATTTTAAACACTCATCGAACACAAAAGTATTATTATAATTGTAGAAAAAATTACCATCTTCTATATACTCCTTTCCCGTAAACACGCCACTTATTCTTAATTTTTTATGTAAATCTATCAAAAAATCTACTATACAAACATTTAAACAGTATATTATTTAACCACGACAACTTAAATCTTAAAATAGAATAAATAAATAAATAAATAGAGCCATCAAAATTAATAAATATTAAATTACATTTGAAAAGAACGTACTTCGAGTTATTGCGAATCGACTATACGTATGTAAAATTAATTGTAATTGTGTTTGTCGCAAATGTAGGTATGAAAGTTATTATGTGGTTACATCGTGTTATTATGTTGCGGATTTTTTTAATGTATTATCATATACTTATATATTTTTATTTCATTACCTATGTATTTCTAATATAAATTAAAAACTACATTACATAAAAAAAAAAATCACTATATACGTGAAAACCAACACAAAAGTAATATTTCAGGATTTAAAGAAAAGTACAATAATGAACTTGGCAATTATAATAATTGTAAATGAATAATGACGTTACGTCTGTGGAATTTTGTTTTTTGCTTGATTTTAAAGGTGGACTCTGACGAATAATTCGTATTGATTACAATATTTATCCGGCAGTTATATTATATTATTTTATTATCATATTGTGTAAGAGAAAACTGGATTTTTGATATAACGATCGTGGATGTAATATGTAGTGTTGATGACTAACGTGTGCGATTTTAGGAGTGGCTTTGAGGGAAGAGAAGACGTATTTCTTATAAGTAATATCATAAATGTTTGCATTTTAATAATAGTAATACAGTTGTATATAAATACCTCCGTACTATAATATAATAATATAGTAACGCGGTTTCACAGTTATAAACGGAGTTTATTTATTATTCAAACTCTTGTAACAACGTACGAACATACGAGTAATAATAGGTATCTGCAGTACTCGAACGTTACACGTTCTTAAAATCTTTTTTATAGTTCATTATATTTACGAGTACGCGTGTAAGTTTTAGAATGAAATTGTTTACACAAAGTAGACCGTCTCGTCTTCATAACTCGCGACGTGGGTGTCCGCGGGCTTTTTCACACAACAAAAATCAGCTATCTGTATGTTAATATATTAGTAGCTCTGGAAAATAAAGTTCACTTAACGTATTAAATATTTAACTTTATTGTTTGTACCAAAACAATACATCTCTCTCTCTCTCTTTCTCACTCAATCCATTTCTCGTATTGCTTAGTCCTAAAAATAGCTTTTCTATGTGTGAAAATGTATGATATTTTGGAGTAAAATATTTAAAATAAATATGTTGTGTGCCGGTTCGATGAATAATGCATTTTAATAGTCATCATGCATTCGATGAATATTTTAGCGGTTGTGGTGGTGGCGTCCAAGGGATGAAAAATTAAATTGTCTTACCCCGCTCATATAGAACATACCTATTATTTTTTATAACAATTATTGTATTTGTAATCGTATTTGTATTCGTGTATTACAGTTTAAAAAATTTCTATTATAAAATCTATAGATTTTTTTTTTTTTAAATAATACAGTTTGAAGTCTGTATTTGAAACAGCGTTTGTCAAGTTATTAGTTTAATAATGATTATCACAATTTTATCACAATAAGAAGCATTTTATTAGAATACCACAACCGTGCTGAGGACTTACAGTAAATGATAATTTATCAACGTGCAAAAATTCCGGAAAAATATTTTAACATTTTGATTTATTCTGATTAATAAACCGTTAAACCACGCAAATGCGTTAAATCATTATGATAACCCGCGAAAAATATAGCGATTAAGATTATGTATTCTATTTCTAATAAATTTCAGTTAAAATCTACAATTTCGCATCGATTTTCCGTTCGCGAATTGTGCTCAAAGTACACATTATTGTCATAAGATGTGTATAAACACAGCCCTGTACTGTATCAGTACAGCGTACCTATATTATTACACTTATACGTAAACGAAAACGATTAAACATTTATTTCTTATAACTTCAATGGACTCGTTACTCGTGTACACGCACTGCATTGATGCTGTAACGATCCGGTATTAAAAATTCTCTTGCACCGAAGATCATTTCTCGTTAACGAAAACCTTAAAGGACACATATTTTTCGTTACGTGGGATAGGGTTAACGAGCGTTAAGTCGCGACGAGGGTCGTCTGCGGAAACAATGTGATACGAGTTTAACACAATGGGCATTGCGAATGACGAAAACACGGGTATTGTGGCATTATCAGCCTAAATATTTATAGACAGTATGATTTTTTTAATAAGAAATGTATTTTTAAGAATGTATTTTTTAATTTTTTTGAAACGTTTTACTATTAACACCTTAATACGAGTTAATTTAAATTAATCAGACTTGACTTATATTGCCATTCTAACATTAAATGAATGCAACTAGCCAACCGCTAGTCTGATGTTAAATCGATATATTTACATTATAAAAATCATCTGTCTTTAGGATTTGAAATGAACGGGCGCGGCTACTTCGAAATCAATAATAAACAACGTCCAACAAAGGGGCTGGAAATAATTTGATTTTAATGAATTAAATATGTATAACACGGATCAAAAGATAAAAAATAAAAGATTTGCCATAAACAATTAGTATGTTTTTAAGTTAAGTCCTCTCCGAAATAATCACTCTGTACGAAACAGCAGCTAACGATGAATACAAATCCGTCGTTGTAGATCCGAAGCACGCGTCTGTTGAGTATTATGCGCTCGGACTACGCACGGGAAAAAGATTACGGACGAGAGAAAGCGGTGTTTGTGCGCGCCCCGAGAGAGATAACGAAGAGAGGTATGTTATAGCGATGACGATTTCGGTCCAAGTGGTGAACTGACTCGTGTCATCGGGATGTGTACGAAGCGTCGTGTTAATTATCGTTATTTTTATTATACGTCGGACGACTCGGCTCGAATGGCGTAAAAAACGGAGTCCGAAATGGAGTTCACGCGATTCCGTTATCCTGTTTTACTTAAATTTGTATTAACGTTCTACGCGATGTGTACAAAATATCATTATACCGCGAGATCTATACACGTACGTATATAAATGGGTTTTGGACGTAATACTCTTTTCCGTCTACGTTAACGGTTCACACGGACTGCAATAACAGCGGACGGCGGACGCCTCTAACAGACACTTTTTTTCCCACTTTTATGGACGAAGGTTTTCGGTTGTTTTTAACACCTGAGTATACTCTGATATATTGCTTTCCCGTTTTATGGACCAATAAGTGCTTTCTTTTTGTATATTCGTCGTACAATCCACCCACACTAATGCCGCCGCCGACGCTCCGACGCCGGTATGTTACACACGTATTATAAATGTATGTACGGAACATCATATTATTATTATTATTATTATATTAGTACACATAAATAAGAACGTGTGACACCCGGTCGCTTCTAATCGGATTACGTTCCTCCGCGCGCGCTGCCGCCGCAATGACGACCTTGTCACGGCGCGAACAAAAATAATAAAAAAAAAATAAACGAAAAATCGCTGAAAAACTACGAACAGGTCCGTCTCCCCTTGGCCCTCCGACCTACTATTATTCCTAATACTAATTTACGACATTATTGTTTTGCGTCGGCGTTGTATATTACATTGTATATTATTATGCCGCAGGTGATATTTTATTTACGCGCGTGTGTATTTGTGTTGCAGGCGAGTACCTGAAAGAAAAATACGAAGGGGCTATCGAGGTGAGGGCCACCAGACGCGGACGGTTGCAGATCCGAGACCCGAGGTTCAGTTTGCCGACGGCCAGTGATCTCGTCTACATCGACGATTCGCCTAACTATTGTATCAGGAACATGACCGCCGGTTCTATAGGTACAAAATACGGAATGACATATAATCGTTTAGTATTAAAATCTCTTTAATAAAAAAAAAAAAAAAAAACATGATTACGTAACTGTACGCTATTCTGCGTCTACGCCTTCTCTCTCTCTCTCTTTCTCTTTCTCTCTCCATAGTTGTATGATTGATAAATTATTCTCGTGAAATGCAATGCGTGTACGATCAGTGCACGCAATCAAATGCACCGGTGACGACTGATTTTGATGAGGTGCCGGATTTAGGGTGGAGGGGGGGTGCAAGAGGTGCTATGCAACGGAGTTTCAACCTCTAAAAAGCCTCTAAAACTAAAATCTAAAATTGAAATTGTCTGTGTCGTTTATTTGATTTTTTACGATTTGATTTTATATTTATTCATTGTATTTCATCCAACAACTTTTAATAGTGAATTTATAAATCGAAAATTTCTGAACGTATATTTGAAAGTGATGCACAAAAAAGGAAAAAAGAAGTTTATTTTACAAAAATAAAAAGGAACCTATAATTGGTTTTGTGAACAGTTGGGCGTATGTAATTTATGAAAAAAATAAAGACCTATGGAAATGTCTGTTGCAATGACCGTAATGGCTGATAACGGAAGAGAAGGCGAAGAAAGAGTACTTTTTTTTTTTTTTTTTAAATACAATTCGATGAGATAAACTACAACATTTTTTGTGTTTTACCATATTAATGGGTTCACATTTTCATTATTTTATTTATTTAATACATCTGAGTAAAATATTTACGTATCGTGCGGGGGGCTACAATTGTGGTTAAATTAGGTCAAGTTAAAACAATTAGATTGAGCAACTGCGACGTGCACAATATATATTCACATTGTCGTACCTACAGTCAAGAATTTTCGTAATTCAAGAGAGTAGACGGTTGTCGTTTGTAGTCATAAAATATTTTTTACTTGAAATAGCTGGTAGGTATACAGTTTTATTTACATTTACTAACGTCGAACATTCTCTGAGTTTTCGGTATTCGTTTGTATTTTTAAAGGCATATTATAGGTTGTGACCAATGATTCTAAATCAAAGACATCCATGAAGTAATGCATATTGAAAAATATTTTATATTTGTACTTCTTATAATTATTATGTATACTTTTTTATGCACATTTTTTATTTATTTAAACGCCTGTGTAGGATCTGACACAGAATAAAAAATATAACATATAACACGTAATATAATAAAACGTAATAAATATAATACATAAAACTATAAAAGAACAAAATAATATTAATTAATATATTAATATTATATTCATATTTTAATCACATTATAAATTTACATAATATTTTGGTTTTGTTAATAAGTATAGGTACAAATGGTACCGTAAATACAAAGTAGAAGCCTAATATGATGATCCATGAAGTAATACACTTTCCCATAGTCTAGGCGCCGTGTGGACTATAATTTCGGGGTGTTTTTTAAAGTACAACCTATCAAATATGATTATTAACACCTTGAAGTGTGGTTGAGTCCAGCGGAACTCACTTAAACACGAATCTAGAAAAAATTAAATAAAAAAAAAAAAAAAACGATTTCATTGTAAGGACGAAATTCAGAAAAGGTTATTTACGATACATCGAAAATTCGGTTGCCGAAAGAGTTTCTTGCAACTATTTCCAAACTCGGAATCTACGGTGTAAAATCAAATTTTCAATGGAACACTTTTGGGCGTACTATATCAAATGAGAGAGAGGTCAAACCGAATAAGCGTGTATAATATTTTAGATGATTACCTATGTGATGACGTTCTGATCTCTAGTACATACGCATTACGATAATTTAAGTACTGCCACACTCTTATATAACTATACTCAGATGACGTCTTCTGATCGACAAACGAGCGTTTTACTGTAATCTGTCATCGTTATAATATTTATGATGGTAGTGAAATGGAAAACTCACGGCCATTATTATCATTGTAGAGTTATGACTTCTTACAGATTTCGATCACATACGTTTTAATAGAAGTGTGTGAACGCAACATATTATAATCATTATAATCCATAATGATCAGATATTTCTCTCTCGTCTGTATTTCTCATTGAAAACAAATGCTATCGTGATGATTAATAGATGATTTAAATTCTAACGATTTAATTATATAATTTATAATACATTTTTAATGCACACTTCAATATTTTTTATAACAAGACTAAGAAATCATAAAAGACGCCTATTTCTCTTGGAATTCATCTTACGACACTTCGTAGAATCCGTGGACTCGTATATACCGTAGGATGTATTGAAATCAGGTTTTTTACTAAATTCCCAGCATAATAGCCAAATAATTAAATAGTTTCATGCCGTTTTATTTTCAACCTGACCAAAAGTAGTGGGCGTTCATAATATTTGAAACTATATTTCCTTATTAATTACCAGTTTATCGTTCTTCTGATATTTATGTAAAATATTAATATTCGTATAATGAAGTACGCACAGTCCAATAAAATAAAATACATATGTAGGTTTACACATTTGAAAAGTGAAAATATGCATTTTGTTATACGAAGCCTTGATTTTTATCTTCATTGAAACCCGGATAAATTATAATCTAATTTAATTAATAATAACAATAATTAATATGAAAAACAATAAAGTTTCAGGTATTATAAACATTTTCCATTTTAGTATAGTGCCGACTTAGACATAATACTGCCGCGACGATAGAGTCGAACGGTGCAAATATGCCACACTTTACATTAAAAATAATGGGCGCTAACAATACATTATGATAATAAACATATTTTAAGTACTATGTGATTTGATTATGGCAAAAAATGAATTACAGAACAATTTTCAGAACCGTCAAATAGATATTAATAAATATTATTATATATTCGCGGACACATATCGCTAATTTTCAACTGCTAAACCAAACATAACTATATCTAACTTACCGGAAAATCGTTTTCAATCGAATTTTCAGCACATTTATGGAGTAAATTATTTGTTGCCCTTTACTAGAATAACTAAAGTATCCAAATACAATATAAATATGTTTAATTACCGCATTAAGTGGGCTGTGATTGTTGCTACCCATTATTTTAATTTTAATATTTCGGTAACAAAAGTAAACATAACTAATATTAACTAAACGCTGAATTGTACTAGTATTTATTTTTAATAATTTTAAATATTTTAAATTTGTGACTGTGTTTATTTGAGTTTTATTTTTAAAGTTTTTGCTATTGCTTCTATTCCATGACATTTTCTAAGAACGGACCAATCATTGACAAGTATCTCCTCTCTGTTGGCTCCCCAAATTTCCTTTAAATTTAAATACCTATTTGTTCTATCTATTTTTTTTTCTTTCTATTTAATACGCAAACAACAAATCTGATAAATTTGACCACCATATGGTGTTACCAGTTCAATTTTAACATTTGAAAGTATAATCAATAATTATCAAAAAAACTACTACAATTTAGCAAATGGTACATTTGTTACTACAGAATATGTGCCAATATAATATAAGCAGAAAACAAATCTTAAAATACTTTTTTTGATTGTATTTTAATAAATTTTAAATTAAATTATAAAATTTGTAGTAATTTCGTAAGAAGAATCAAAATACATTTTACAATTATAAAATTTAAAATAAATTAAAAAATATTTTTATTTTTTTTGCAAGATTATTTAAATTATTTTTTTACAATAGTTGTTTACAATTATAGACATTTAGGGAAATTAATAATTTGTAAATAAAAGGGAGAAACATTTAAAATGTATAGTATCCATGACTATGGGTAGAAAGTAACAATTGTTTTCTATTGCTTCACTGAGAAAATTAATATTATAATTATTTTTACAAATTTAAAATAAAAGAAGTTTATCATATTAAAAATATTGTTCGACGAATTATAACATGAAAAAACTATTGACGTTTGACATATTTATACATATACAATGAGTAGGTACAACAAACATGTTATATAAATTAATGTTTAACAAAATAAACAAAATACAACGGTTAGTAAATTATAATGCTATTGAATCAAAAAGCCATTCTGTTAATTGTTTTTTCAAATAATGGCAAAGGTGAGTCAGTAACATATTCTGACATTAGGTTAATTTTATTCCCAAGAACTTACATTGCATGCAGAAGTTAGTTTTCAGAGGCCATTGAATTTTGTAATTGTGTATGGCATATCTTGTGTTATTTCTATGAGATAAATGTAGTAGTAGGAAATTTTTTTTATTGGGAAATCGGTGTCGATTTTAAATACAAAATTTTTGTATTTAGTACTTTAAATTACCTATATTTATATATTGTTGGACATCTAGTCTCTTTCTTTAATGTAACCTATTTATCATCCGTTAAGTAATGCATATAATTTTAAAGAGAAACTGTAAAGTTTATACAGCATAATATAATTGAATAATTTCTAGGTACTCATGGCCGAGAATGCAATCGGACATCGCATGGAATGGATGGATGTAGTTTACTCTGTTGTGGTAGAGGCTACAATACACAGCGATTGGTCACACGTGAGAAATGTGAATGCAAATTTCACTGGTGCTGTTATGTGCAATGTAAGACATGTACTCGTAACGCTGAGGTTCATACATGTAAATAAAGCAAAAGAAAAAAGAAAGAAAGAAAACATTTTAAGTATTGAACATTAGATCTCAAAATATAAACTTTTGGCTTCCTTAAATCCTCCCTTACTCTCACTTGCTTATATTCTATAATTGTGTTTTTGATTTTCCTTGTATTTGAACATAAGCAAACTATCATTAAACAATGCTCATATTATTGGCATACATAACTATTTATTTATCAAAATACAGACTTATTTTGTTTTTTATGTTATGGACTATTTTGGAAGATGTAAATATTAAAAATTAATATTTTAACAGTAGATAAAATTATAATTATGTATTTATTAAGGCTGTTTTGTTTCAACAGACTGAAACGGAGTGGCTAGTAAAGTAGACTATTTATGTTTTAAGAAAGATTTTTTTTATTTTTATTTATAATACTAAGTTTGAGTGAAAAATAAGTATGTAATTAACAAAAAAAAGTTTTTATCATAGTATACATAATATATTATAAATTTAGTAGTTTATATAGTGAGTTGTGCACAATAATTGGAATAAGAAAATTAAATATCACAAATTACATTTTTTTTCTCTTTTTGTTTTTACCATTTTATTTGTTGCATTATCCAATTCTCATCAACAATCTCAAAGACTTTTTTTCGGTCTTTATTCATAGACTCATATATACAAATGTTATTTTGACAACTAGAAAAAAAAAAAAAATTAATTAAATAAAATCATTGAAAATGTTTGTCAAACAATGTGAAAAGAAAATTTAGTTTACAAACATACCTTGAATGAATTACCACATGAGTAGTGTTGTTATCAATATTTTTACAAACTGTACCTCCATTCAACTTGAATATCAACATTTCTAAAACTGTGTTTAAATGGAAATTTCTGACAGGTAAGTTGTCCTAAGACATGCATATAAAAGTATTAATTCTTGTTTATATAATATAAATGAATAAGACTTACAAGATTTAAATGATCAAAATAGACTTGACACTTTTCAAAAACTTTGAAACATTGTTCTCCATTAAAAAGTTCTTTTTGAAATTCCAAAAAAGGGTCAATTTCTGAGTTAACTAAATCATCCTAGACAAAATAATAACTAGTTGTGATAATATATACTAGCACTGATTATAAAATCTAGTGTCCAACATAAATATGCTCATGGTGAGAATATCGGTAAGTAAAGTTACAGTTCTAGATTCTGAGGGAGTTGTTACAGTACAAAGTTACCTCATTAGCATAATTTTTATATATAGTTAATATTATTTAATAATAAAAATAACAGTAAAATTTTTTCTATCCCAGAATTACTTCCTAATAAATATGACTATAGTATTTATGTATTACAAATTTAAACCTTGAAAATACATACATCAAGTTCTACTTGATTCATGGCACAGCGTAAGCTATCAATAGTTGCCATTTCTGAATAGCTGTCTCCATACTGATCAAAATTTTCATCCATTAATAGTTGGTGTTCCTTGGATAAAAATAAGATGTTCTCAGGAACCCAATTAAGGAATTCATTGTCCGTGAAACATGAGAGTATCCACTTAGTATTTATTATACTATGTTTACCAGATAATTTTATAGCGTGCGCCCTTATATGTTTGATATTATTTGCTAGTACACAGAATGTATCAACACCTAATAGAAAATAAATTATTAATTTAACACTTTATACTCTGAATTGATTTTTTTTTTTTTACCTGGATTTTGTACAATTCTACCTCCATATTCATAAATTTTCTTTTCAATTTCACTTTTACTCATTGTTTCACAGTCATTGAGAACACAGAATTCTTTGTCTTCAAACATATTATTGATGCGATTAACATCACTTAAGTTGGGTGTTTGATATTTTATATCAACAGTGGGTGTTATACGAGCTTTTTGAATTTTACTTGGAGAATTTGCAGTATACAGCTTCCCCTCGGTGGTCTATTAAAGTAACAAGATATTAAATTATTAGAAGTATAGATATTTTTACCTGATATTAAAACCTTTATTATAGATTGAAATTCTTCAACTGTAAGACAATCATGCCATGGTTTGTCATAACGTATTTTTTCAATTCTGGGAAATCTTAATGTTATTTTATTTTTAAAGGCATTACTAGTTGTAATCTCTGTTGCTTTAATCTGTTAAAAATAAACATTTTATAAATCAATAATTATTTAAATTATAAATTTCATAGTAAAAAAATTTTATTCACCTGCAAAATAATTGATGATTCAGGTTCAATCCAAAGATCCGGCTTATTTTTACCCCACTCAATGTTTGATGGCAAAATAACTCCAGGTTTTACTCTTTTCCAGTGAGGTGATAATTTTTTTGATAATTCAGCAAGTTCTTCAATAGAAAATCCAGAACTGACTTTACTAATAGCAGTAAATGTTAATGATTCACCATCTATAAATTTTGTTTGTAAAATAATGTTTATAAGTTACATTTTACTAAGAATTATTAAATATAGCATTACAAAAATATGTCTAAAGAATTAACATAATTGTTTATGTATAAAATTGTCTACATTAAGTTCAATACTAGTTATGCTCGCAGCTTAAAATTACCTTTCTCTAAAAGACTCACAAGAAAATGACTCACAATATTTCTTCTTTTACCTTCTCCATAATATCCTCCAATAATTAAAAGATCTAACTCAATCATAGCACCTTCAGTATACTAAAGTATAAAATCAAAGAGTATATTTTAGTCAAAGAAAAATATTGTTACGCCTTAAAAAAATCTTACTTCTGGTTTAATTTTATACCATCCTGCAGTTCGTGAATTTGGTTTATAAATCGATAATAAGTCTTTGACAACAATTCCTTCTTCATTATTATCAATCGCTTTGTCAAGATATTTTATAATTTCATTTCTATAAATTTATTTAAATTAACAAGTAATATGATGTTAAAATTAATCTTAGAATATTATTTTATTATAATTCTAAATTAATAATGTAAGTTTATTTATTACTTTTCGGACTTGTGTCTTGTAACATGAACAAATATTCCTTCTAAAGGTTCAAATACTGTATTTAAAATTTCTATTCTCTTTTCCAACGGTTGATTGGTTAAAACTTTATCATTATAAAAAAGTATATCAAACACACAAAAACATGGTTGATTAATACATCCGATTCTAAGAGTTTTGACATCAATATTCATGGCTAAAACAGTAGTACTAACATAATTACAATATTCAAAAATTACTTTTAACAATAAATCACCTTTTGTAGAAAAAGATTTGTAATTTGTGTTGTAACACATCAATTCAGCATCTAGAATGCAATTCTTTACAGCAGACCTAAATTGTTTTGCTAATATTGGACTCAGAATACCATTAAGATTGTTATATCCATACACATCTGTATAATCATTGCCCCTTCTATAATTAGAAAATAATTATTTAATAAGAAATTTTACATTTCATTGAGATGTTTTATGAATTTACCTGGAAAAATATTTAAATTGGTTTTTATTTCTATCCCAATGAAGTTGGAATCGTTCACCATCCAATTTTTCATCAACAAAATACACATTACCTTCTGATTTAATTATTTGATTGACATTAGTTATTTCACAACGTTGACTTAACATTGGACTAAATGGTTCAAATAAATTAATTGAAATTTCGTGTAATACAACTGTTGGATTGTTCAGCATTCTACAGACCTATAAGACATGGAGATATATTGTTTATTCTTAAAATATTTAAAAAATATATTACTTTTGTCAAATCATTGCAAACATCATATAATTCATTGGCATCACGATGATATGTATTTAATATTTTTGTATGAGCTAAACCCAAATTCATATTTTTTAACAACAGTCTTATCAACCATTTCTGCTCAATAGCACTAAACTTTAACAGCATTAACTGTAGTGTTTGTTCAAGTTCTATAATAATAATAGAAATTGATTATTGCTTGTGATGTTTATATGCTAATTTTAAATTATTATTCCTTTTTTTGAGTATATTCAAAAAAGAAAATTGTATTAATCAATGTACTTATATATACTTATATAATATCAATTAATCATGTACTAATCAATGAAAGTTTATCTAATTTGTAGTTAATTTTATATTTTATGTAGTATAAATTACTTGATTCATTGGTAGAATGTTTTAAAGCTATTTCGTCTAATAACTGATTAACATCAGCAATAGTCATTGAACCATCCTCTTCAAAACGACTTCTGATAACCCAGTAAATTATTTCAGCAAAATCTCCGGCTATAGAACCAGCAACCGTTGGGACTCTGTATGTGTTTATTGTGGAGTTTATTAGATGGTTTTAAAAATATTACCTTTGGATAATACTGCAAAAAATATTTCTTACCTATAATTCAAAAGCTTTTGACCATCTGGACTTTCTTTTGATAGACCTAATATTTTTACATATAATTTTCCTAGTGCTTTTTCTTTAACCCCATATGGTCCCCTCTTTTTGTCTGATGTCGGCAATAATAACCGAAGTATTGGGTAAAATGTATCCTCCTAAAAATATTAATAATATTATTAAATAAATAACTCTAATATTTCATTAAGTACCAAACTGACGTACTATGTTAATATCATCACTTTCCTCAATTTTCCCTCGGTATTTTTCGATGAATTTTTTTAACATGGAAATTTTTTTTTCATATTTAGCATTACAAATGTCTTCACAAAAACGACAAAATAATTTAAATGATATGGTGTTGCAAGTATATTGTTTACCAATTGTTGTGGCCATTGTTCTAATCAATACTGTGATAATTAATATTAAATTAGTTTTTATTATCACATTTTATAATTAATGCACTGTACATTTATATCATTTTTTATTAATTGTATTATGTAATATATATTATATAATTACATTAAAATGTTTGTGAAAATATATAAGCAATAATATATAATATCAAACAAATATAACATTATTCAGAGCTTTATTCATTGAACACTAACAATTAACTTAATAACAATTAAATATTCACAATATTTTGTATAAAATTAAAGACACTAATATTTATAAATCTAAAAATAGCAATAAAAAATCACACTTGCACATGACAAATATACATCAATGCAACTTCTAGATTTCCAGATTCCATATAAATTAAATGCAAATTATACGCTGCTGCGTTGCGTAAACAATTATCCTCGTTGTATGGTTTAGTGTCCAAAACTAATTTATAATAGTATAGGGCTTTTGCTGCCATACCAATTTGATGATAGGCTCTGGCAATATTATAATAACATTCCTGTCTGTGTTGAACCCCTCTATGTTCTTTGTACTTCATTAAAAATCCAATGCCTTGTAGTGCTAAGCTATGTCTGTCTGTACCAACTTTAAATGTGCACAGTCTGAGAACAATCACTCCTAACATAAAGAAGAGCATACTTTTATCTTCTAATTTATTCAATAGTTCAGTATACCTTGAAAATATGAGTTGATAGTTATTAGTATCATTGAACACATTGGTGTCAAGTAAGTTTAGAGCAATATTATCTGGGTACTTAGCGGCTAATCGAAAAATAAATTTTGCTTGTTTTTTTGCTGCACATTTTTTTAAAAGAAAACAAAATATATTGGAAATTTGTGGTGCTTGGGGATATTTGAACAACAAATACCTAGACAACATGAAACCTAATTTATACGCTCGAACTTTGTATGCAAATTTTATGGCGTTTAAAACAATTTGATGATTGTAAGGTGCTAGTACTGTGGAGTTCATAGCTGAAAGTAGCATCTTTAAACCTTCATAGTAATCATTTTTCTCAATGCACTTCAAACAAATGGTATTCATGACGTTCCATTCTTCTTCACCACTGGGTAGTGGATTGACAGTTAAAATACTCTTATGTTGGTAACCATACAATTTTTTCTTCATTGTTAATAAAGTATCATGTCTATTTTCTACATTTTGTATTGCTAACATCGACTTTATTTCTCTTAAAGAGTTTACAGGTAAACAATGACGAGAAAACATCAAATTGGCTGCTTTTAAACAATGCTCATACATATCATTTTTATCAAATGTTACCAAAATGTATTCGTACAATAATCGGCAATCTAGATTTTCTATATCATTCTGAAATAATACTTCTAGACTTTTATCTATTCTGTTTAACTTTTTTAATGACATATACAAGTCAAATGTAACAGTTAATTGATGAGGGTCGAACTCCAATAATTTGTTATAACTATCTACAGCTTCTTCAAGATGTCCCAACGTTTTTAAACAATCAGAATATTTAATCTTAAGTGAATGCTGATCAAATACCTCATTATTAGAGTTAATTAATTTTTCTAGAAATAGAATTGCATGTTTATGTTGATTGGAATCGTATAAAGCATGAGCTATAGTTAAATGGTAACTGTTGACTTCAGTCATATTTAAAATAGGTTCATAAATTGGTGGTAGTATAGAAAAGGCTTCTAATTGCACCAGAATCTCAATCACTTTGACTCGTATTAACATTGGCATAGCTATAGGAACCACACATTCTACAATATCTGTTATTGATGAATCATTATTAACATCAGCTACAAACTCAAGATTATAATATTCAACAAGAAGTTCTAGACATTTTTTATAATTTTTAGGTTTAATGAGATAATCTAAACATGTAACAAAATCTTTGGGGTTTATATCATTTGGATATAAATTAAATACATGCATGAAAATACTTGATGCACGGTCATAGTTATTATTTTTAACAAAATTATCAATTAGTAATTTAGATAAAGTAGTGATTGAATCTTTTTGATCAGGTCGTAATTTACGTAACAATCGATCATACTCATACATGGCACTTTTAGCTGTACCTAGTTTTTCCAATATTGATGCTCTTTTAATATGCAAGTCTAAATTGCGTTTATCTTTTTGTATAGCTTTTGTCAAACAAAAACCTGTTAATGGCAACATGTTATTAGATTCACATGTTTCACCCAACAACACCCAATCTTCAGATGTAACACTACTTAAACTGTTCCCAATTACAGCAGTTTCTAAACTTTTTTTAATATCACCCATTTGTTCATAAATGTCAGATAATGTGAAAAATGGTTCAGATGCATTTGGACACTCTTTCAGTATGTTAACACAAATTTTAATGGCCATGTTATAGTTTCTTTTTAGCATAAACATCTTAGCTTGACCAATAAGTCCTCTTAAGGCTAATGGAATTTTTCCCATTTGCCTAGAACGTGGTCCTTCATGAATTGTTTCATCATTATTGTCCTCTACCAATGTTTTTTTGGTTTGTGCGGTACTTTCGTTCATGATGGGTGCTGTACTAGGGTTTTGGTGCGTTTCGTAGCTTTGCAAAGCATTACCTTCCAAATTATAAACAATAGCTAGTTCTTCATTTTCTGAAGTGTCAGTAGGTACTTCAATTGTAGTTTCTATAGTAGGCGTTTCTATGTCTTGAACAGTCAACAATTCAAACATGTCATCTTCGTGCATGTCAGCACAGTTTATCTCGTCCGTAATGACGTCCGGTGTACTTTCGTCCAAGACGATTTCCATGTCTTCGATATTTAACATATTTTCTGCCATATTATACAAAATACAAAACAAACAAGTAAAAACTTACCGAATCAGACGACAGACGATATTGTTGTACAGAATATGTCGTTCAAATTGTAAACAAACCTTACTGTTGATCGTTCTTATCTCCATTGTTATCATAGCCCGCTACAGCTCAGAACGTAGGAACGTTTGCTACTATGTATATTTCTGTATTATTGACATAGATATTAAACATATATATAATATCTATGATTATTGATGTCTTATAATATTATACCAGTAGGGGTTTGCTATTGTCATCTCGTTACCAACTTCAGCATTAAGTATCGTATGAAGTTCTTTACAACGGTCAGTCGTTGACGTCGTTGGATTCGACAACAAAATTATTGTTTTTGCTATGGTACGTTTAATAAATATAAAAGTATTTTATTTAGTCAACTAGATAACCTTTCGACTTGCACGTTTTTGATTGATATTAAATTCGTGCATAACTATAAAATGATTTTTGAAATACGGCTTCGATGACAAAAGATACAAACATGTCAGCAATAGACGAAGAATCTTTATTATCTGACGAAGAGCTTTTTGCCAACGGTAATCTAAATTAATTTTAATTATTTGTTTAACAGTTATTTACCTTCGATTATTGTCTTATTATTATTAATATTATGTATAAAATGCAAATTTCAAATTTATTTTTTATAATTAAACTATACAATTGACAAATTTGCTTCTTTTTTTTTTGATTTTCTATTGATTCTGAATATGTATTTTGTTATTTTTGGTTTAAATGAAACAATTTTACAACTTCCATTGACCACTGATATAATGTTTAATAGTTTCATGATACCAACATATTATATTAATTTACTACACACAATTGAAACCTCATTATTATTTGCTCATGTTTGTGTGAATTTGTGTTCAATATTCACTGTAATATCATGTAATGGGTAAAACTTAAAATTGGTATGGGACTTGTTTTTATTTTAACAATAGTTTTCAAGCCATGTGTTTTACATTTTTAAATACTTATACATTTAAACTAAGAATTTTTAGATTTCCCATATTAGACTTTAGAGATAATATATTAAACATTCTAAATGTTCTATGGTTACATTATTATTGTAATTTTAATGAAAGAGATAAAATATTTCAATAATATAATAATGTTTGTAATTGTAGATTTTTGCCATTTGTCTAAATCTTTGCTTACTTTAAGTACAAGAATTTATGAGTTAATATATATGGATTTGATTCAAACGGTTGGTTACCTATAAAGTAAAATTTTAATTTATTGTTAATTTGAATTGATTAAATTACTTTTTCCATTAGAAAGAATGTGAATACAATTATAATTTAGTTCATATAAAGTTTAAAGTATTGCTACTATCCCATTTATTTTCTTTGATATTAATTGCCAATATATAACAATGTTTTTTTTTTCTTTCAGTTTTTTGGTTTATTTATAATTTTATTCACCATATTAAACAGTTGCTTGCTATTTTTATTTAAATTTTTTAAAGATCTTAATTTTTTTTACCAGTTGTAGAAGCTATAGCTTTTCCTTAGAATATTTTTTTGTCTAATTTTTTTAAGTATTTTTTCTAAACGCATGTAATTTTAAATTGTCTTAAAGCCAACAAGTAACATTTCATTTTTAATATTAAATATAATTAACATTGTATTAGTTTATAATTTATGGCTGTTCAAAAGTCTGTTTTATAATTAGATAAAGCTATTCATAGAATTACTGTTATTACTATTACTGTTATAATTACATTAAATTATAATTAATTATAATTTATTATCACTAATAACTGACAAATTGTTCATTCAGCATTTTAGAAATTTCCTTTAATGTTATGATAAGATGAAAACAAAATGATATATTTTTTAATTGGGTACTATTGCTACTTCAATCAGTAATTATAATATATTTATTTATTACAGTTAAATGAAAATTTATGTTTGTCAAAAATATTGCATAATATAAAAGAAATTCAGAGAATTGACATTTTATACATAAATTTCATTTTAATGAACAAATGCTTTCCAAAATTTAAATTTAAAATTTTTTTAGAAATCATATAGAGTTGGTTATGACTAGAGTTCGGAACTTAATGCACTTAAAAATTACTAAATATGCATGCACTTAAGCGCTTAAAAAAGTACAAATATGCGCTTAAATATTATTTTTGTACACAACATTTTCAATTGCACAAACATTTTATAAAATTATAAATATAGTAAAAGCAAAGTTATAAAAATAATTCTGATTTTTAATTTATAATAATAATAATAATAATAAAACAGCATTAAATAAAGCAGTGATGATAAAAAAAATATTTAATTTATTTTAACACATAACAAAGAATACTTTTAAAGCTAATAATATTATTTATATTACTATATTAGTATTATTTATATTGATTAAAAAGAATTATAGTTTTTTTTTCTTGATTTATTTAAATCATGATTATTGTGGAAAGAATGATTGACCAAGTGTAAAAGCATACCAGCACATTCACTAATTTACACTTTAGCTATAGTCAGTCTCTCTGATATGTGTAATCTGTCTAGAAAGAAAGATATTACTAGTACCATTTTATTAGCATGTTAAAAATCTATATAATGCTTTAAAAACTGCCATCTTGGTGATCAAACTTAAGTACCAACAAACTCAGTCATTATACTATTCGATAAATAAAAAAATATGATAATTACCTAATTTTTATAAAAAAATTTAATTCTTTAGATTCAAATGATTGTGTGGTAACATTAACAAGTTCAGTCAGTTATGAAGATGAGTATCAGTCATTGTTATTTCAGAACAGAGATCGTATAATTTCAAAGTTAAAAAATGATTTGTCTGTTTTACCTCCTCCACCAACAGTAACTACTTGTAAATTTAGCGTGGATGATATATTAGAAAAATGGTACCAACATGAATCTTCAAATTCTCCTATTAAAAAATTTGGAACAAAAGAATTAAAAAATATTGATCGAGCAATAAATTGGCCTTGGCCAGACGTTGCAAATGTTCAATGCTTTGATGTTTAGTAAGTCTAATATTAATTTTAAACTGAAAATAGGTTGTTTATAAAGTCTTGTTTGTGTTATAGTTATAACATTGATAACAAATCAGCAGAAATGGCATTGTTGGAAACCAAATATCAGCAAAGATATGTTTCAAATGAAACAAAATCTCTTATAAATACAGGGAATACACCACAACCTAAAAAAGAACGGGGATTAGTCAGACAAATCAAACCTCTAGAACAAAATACTCGTTTAATTAGAAGAAAATCTGTTTCAAAACCACAAATACTAGCAGAAGCCAAAGCAAAATTAGCTCTTGTTGAAAACAAACGTCGGATATTAGTACCAGGGTTAGTATACAATCATTTATTAGTATTGACTGTATTCATTAATAATTTATGTACTAATATATTAAAAGGAAACTGAAGAGAGAATATATAAAACCATTAGAGAAAAGTTACCTTGAAAATTGTAATACAAATTCAAGTTCAATTGCCCATAAAAGAGCATTATTCCAGAGTCCCGAAACTCATTATTCAAGAAAACGTTTTTGCTATGGACAAAATCCTAATTCTGAGGAATTTTCAGGCCCTGTTAGTGCTGAATCAATTTGTAGTGATACATCAAACACTACACCAGTTAAAAGGTAATCATTTAAAATATAAATAACATAAATAATCACTAATAAAATATTCTTAAATATTAAAATGCCTTTTTTTCAAAACATTGTCTATTTATGTCTCATAACTGTATATTAAAATATCATACTCAAAGGCTTCACTCTGTTTTTTCTGACTAAATATTTATATTAACACCATAGTATTGTATGGAAATTTAACACGTTCGTTATGTATCACATCTTAGTAGTAACTACCATAGTGAGTATGCAATATTTGATTACTGGAGTTTTATGCTGTACATTTTAATAATATCTGATTACTGTTTAGTCTTCTATCATTTTTAGAAAATAAAGTATTAATATGATATTTCATAATTTATGAATTAAAAACAATTAATTTGCACAAATAAGCTTGTATAAAATAATTAATGGGATACTTAGACAAAAGTGTAGTTAGAAGAAAATTTATTTTTGAGAATGTTCATAATGAAGAATTTTTTATTTATTCTGAAATATTTTTATTTTTTTTTATAGGTGGAGTGTTGCACCTTTAAGTGCTTCTTTATTTGATAATGAATATCAAAATAAATCAGATAAAGCTATTAAAACAGAACCAGTCAAAAAATGTCAAAGATCATTAAAGTTTTTTCATACTTCAGAATCAGCTACTCAAAAAAATTTATTTAATACTAAACCAAGTCAAAAAGAACTCAGTAAACTTCATAAACAAGTATGTTTATTATTAACTATTATAATATTTATAAATTGGTATTAAATATGATATTAATTTTTATAATTTATGTATTTTAATGATTATTGCTTTTGATACATTGCTTTTATATACTCTTAATAAGAAAATTATTTCAGAAATTATTATGGGCTGTATCTGAAGTGTTAAAAGAATGTGGTATTGATAGTCATCATAAGCAATTTCGTCCATTTCTTCAACAATTATTCAAGGTATGTTCTAAACAATGGTTGGAGCAATCACATAGTGATGTAAAAACTAGTACTAGTGTAGCGATGCGTGCTTTGGTTATGAAGCATAAAAATACAGTCTTAAAATTGAAATCAAAATCTCCTTTAAATAGTGCTAAAGATAAAGAAAAGGATAGTGCATTTAAACTTAAGTCTATTGCAGATGTAAAAAAAGTGTTGTTTACAGACAATACTCCAAAGTCTAATGTTGAATTGCAAAAACTTGGATTAGACCTAAAAATTAATGATTCATCAATTAAAAATCCTGTTTGTGTTGATGTTGGGATTGGAAATTTTGCAGTATTTGTTGACATACCAAAATTACAAAATAACAAAAATACTGATAATTCAAATAAACCAGTTTCTTCTGCTTTAGAGTATTGTTCTAATTCTAATTTTGATAATGATTCCAAAGCAATCCTAGCAGGTTAATACTTTTACCCATTAATTGTCTTAATTGATTAGTTGGGTCAATTATTAGAAAATAATTATCTTATATGTTTAACATCAAATTCTTTAATCTTTTTTTTTTTTTTTTTTGTAAACCTATGGCTTTATTAAGTTCATCTTGCTGTTTATTTGTGTTTATTTTCAATTTTTTTTTCTTTTTTTAGTTTTCAATTCTTATAGGTTTAATAATATTTGTAAAAGGTTTTTTTTTGTTTCTTAAATTAATTTTTGGTCCATTGATACTACATTTGTATGTGTATATTTTACAAATTACTGAAACATACATACTTATAGTTGTAAAATTAGAAAATTAGAATTGTATTTTCTACAGTTTTAATTGATCTCTTAATCAGGAAATAAATATACTAACTATTTAATAATAATAATCATAAGTTAATCATAAATTATCGTTTTTAAATTTGGAATAATTAAAAAATACAGTTATTATTTAAAAAATGTATTGGCTCTTAACAAATTTTGTATTTACATAATAAACAAATAAATTTAAATAAATTGTTAACTATTAGATATTAGGACTAAGTTTGTATGTAATGATAATGTTTGTTTATTAATCGTTACTACTGTAAATGCAATGTGTATGTTCAATTGTTTTTTTTTTTCTCTAAATTATGAATGTTTCTTTTTCTAATATATATATAATATTATGTACGTAAAAAATTGTTTTTTAGTTTTTGTGCAATTGTTACAATATATTCAATTTCAATATTAATTTGTGTTTTTATGTGGGTGACAACAATAAATATATTTTGTATTTATGATCAAGTATGTTTAACTTATTAATATATTTTTAAATATTTTACAACATTTTTTAATTTATTAATTTTTATTGTAATGCCTATTGCCATTGAGAATTTGTCCACTTTTTCTGATGATTATGTATATGATGATACCTATTATTTTATTATGTTTACATAAGAGTTCAAATTTATTTTACATATGTATGATATATTAACTGATTCACCTGGCTTCGCTTGAGTTGTCTGATATTTTTTTGTTAAAATAAATGAATGAAACAAATTTTCATTTTTACTTTGAAGATACTATACAGATCACTATATAGATACTGAATGTAAGTTTATAAATTCTGATTCCTTGTAGGTTGATTCTTTATATAAATATAATGTGTTACAAGTCAACATAAAAATATGTAATTCGATTATTGAAACACCCAATGCCTTTAATTGAAGGGTTAGGGATGTTAAAAGTAATAATATAATTAAGAAATTATGATTTTGAAGCCAAAAACATTATGTGGAGACTTTAGTGGTTAAGTCATTAAAATTGCTTTTAATTCATAAAAGGACTGTTTATAAAAGTTTTGATAAATCATATTTGTATTATTAATAAATTAAATTTTAAAAAAGATAGCTGGGTCTTATCCTTTGACCTCCCCTCCCTTTGAAAACCATTGACGGTCAAATGATTTTGTCATAAAGGGGGATGTACTCGATTTTTTTTAACAAACCTTATTTATAATAATCTGTATTTTTAAACATCAAATTAATTAACAATACAAATTTTAATTATATTATTAAATCTATTTTTCTGTTTTTTTTTTGCCAATCGTCTAATACTTCGTTTGCGGTTATATTTACAAGCCCACGATAAACAGCCATAGTGGCTAATTATTCGTGTAGGTACTTACGAGTTTATTAAATTACTAGTACAAAATTTAGGTTTTGTGACCTTACTCTCTTGTCTGTCTCTATTTGTGACAAAGGAACATCTAATTCAGAGGTATCAACATCGACAACATCATTTAATTGTTTAACATTTTTGAAAAAAAACTCAATATTGAGCCATCTTTTCTTTTAGCGTTTATAATGAATGATGTTATCTGTAGCTCAATGACAAACTATAACAATTATAATGTCTATAACTCGGTGATTAAAACTATTACTTTGTGGTCATAAGTTAACATTCAAGATAAATCGATTAGTAGTTGAGCGCTGGCTACGGAATGCGAATACGATGGCCAGATTGATAACGGTATGCACGGTGAGGAGGGTGATCAATTTTACTTGTTATCGAATATTCTCGATTATCGACGAGGTATATGTGTAAGATAGACCTTATATATGTAAAAGAACAAGTATTTTTTATGTTCCCGTTTTGTGACGATTTTTATTTAATATTTTTCCAATTTTTTTCACAGAGTTGTTCAAAATTTCTTCCGGAGTTTCATCATGTCAGCCGATTTTTCATTTTTTTTTTGTCTGAAGGAAGGGGGATGGTATTTAAAGGTTACTGTTTTTTTAGCTTACCATTTAAATAATTTAACGGGTTTTTTTTTTGTAAGGTTGTACTAAATACTCCTACGAGTGATTTATTATTCACGATTTTATTCTATTCCTCATTTCAGTTATAATCGTGATGGATTACTTTTCTATCAATATAGTTGTTGATAGTGAAGTATTGGTACATTTTCCTAGAGATTTCTTAAATCCACAAACATTCTGATGTGTCTCTTCATAAAATATCACTGAAGGCGGGAGTTACAATCATATTATGAGAATTTTGATTTCTCCAAGGTTATGTTATAAGTCTAGGATACGGATCACTTATTTTACAAAAAAATGTAATTAATTAATAATTGAAGCTAAAATTTTGATTGGATGTGCTAAGGGAGAAAAATATTTTACTGAAATTCAAATTATACCTCAAGGGTTTTTTAGTTTAGTTTAGAAGAGTTCAATTTTCAATAAAAGATTGTTTTACAATGACAATAAATAAAGTGTAAGGATATGCTTTAATTTATTGTGGTGTAAATATGGAAAATAGATGTTTCTCATATGGATAAAAAATAAATTGTCTGTAGCATTTTATAGAGTTGAAATCAGGGACCAGAACCGAACCGAAAAGAACCTACTCTGGAACCGGAACCTTTTAAATAATAGGAACCGATACCGGAACCGAAACCTTTATTTTGATAAATGAAATTTCCGGAACCGAACCGGAATTTTTAAATTATAAAGGTTCTTTTAGGTTCCAATATTA